TAAAAGGCAATTTATAGTAAAAACAATAGAACAGAGAACAACAGGCTGTCAACGTCACATATGAACAGTTCTTCAGATGAACTATAACATAAACAACAGAACAGAACAGGTTTACCAAACTCTCCATCTCACTCCAAATCACTAAATCCATTCAATTCTTCATCCTTGGTGTCACTTCTGAGCAACTCTGCGACCTCCGGAGGTAAACAGAGCGCCGCTTCCTCTTCTGTGTAGCTGTCGTCAGACCCAGCATCAGTTCCAGGTAGAATTATTCCGGCCTTTCTGAATCCAGACAGGATGTTTTGGTTGTGACTGAAGTCCACGCATTGTCAAGTCCGTCCAATGAACTTACAGGAAAGTTGCTTGGTGTACCCTCCTGGTTGTCACAAGTTTCTCGCTCACGCCAAACTTTCTTTCTGCTGCTCGATTACCATTTTCGGCTGCAGATTTCACTATTTGCAACAGGACAGAGGCTCTTTCTGCAAGAGACATGCGCAATAGAGCGAAGTGACAGTGGTACAGGAGTAATAGTAGTACCAGATACTGACAGACAAGCTTAGAACCTCTCGTGGTTGTCAGTGTGAATTTTTTAATATATAAGTCACACAGGAGTATAAGTCCCAGGAAACACCCAAACCATGAAAAAAAGTGTGGCTTTGTCTGAAAAATACAGTATTTCATCTAAATTTATGACAAACTTGCCCACAGTCTTTTCTTACCTTAAACTGTTTAAGAAAGCTGTAGTCACGTTTTGGCCAGTTATCTCTTTACAGAAATATAGCTTTGTGTGTACTGAGCAAGTGTTCCAAAACAAAACACCGGCATGCGCTGCAGATTTATCGATCCGAAATATCGGCCAAGGGCAAGATAGCATTGAAAATAAATATGCATCATGTGGATTATTTGTAGTGGAAAGGACAAGCCCTTGAAACTAAACAAATCAATTTTGAACTTTCTTAATTGTACAGCAAGGCATCCAAAGGACAAAGGACAATTTAAACTGAATATTTACAACACTTTACTAACAAAATCTGCAGTTTTCTTATAATAATTTTATTTATCATGCCTTTCAGGACACTCATGGACTCATTAGAAAAGATTAAACAAAAAACAAACTGGTAACACATAATGCAACAACAAATTTAATGCCTCCCACACAACTTAGCCAAAACCGGAATAGCCAATATCCAAGGACTGTTTCATTTCAATAATCTTAAGAAACAAACCATGGTCTACAAATCATTACCATTACATATAGGGATGTAACAATAACCAAAATATCGTGATATCGTATCGTCAAAAGTCTAACAATAATATTGAAGGTCATCACAATACATCATATTACCACATTTTTCGGACTATAAGGCGCAATATCAATAATGTTGAATTCTCTTGTCTATTTTCATACATAAGGTGCACTGGATTATAAGGCGCATGAAGCGAAATAAATGGATGACACTTGAGATTGATCCTTAGCCCAGGCGTCCACGATCTATTGGCAGATCGTGGCATAATTCACCCAGCGTTGCCTCTCTGTCTTGGTGAATGTGTATTATGAATGTGAATGTGGGTGCATCATTTAAGTTTTTTTTTTTTTTTTTTTTAATTTCCTAAGAGGAGAACTCAAATATACATTGAGTAATAATGTGTTTTGCTTTTTGTTTGTTTGTTTTTTACGTTTGTTTACGTTTTACAGAAACAAAACTTAAAGCCACATGGCTAATTTGCATAAACTATAAGCACTGAAAAAACAGCTCGCTCCTTGTGCCCTGATGCGGTTCAGCTTTTGTGTGTTCAATTAACTTCCGACTCCCACCTGGACCTCGGATTTGACGTCACGTCCAAGCTTGAAGCGTATTATTATGATTTGCATGTCAGACTCAGAGAGCCTCACCACAACATCGACTACCAAATCCACAGGCAGTGATACAGATGCAGTGACACGAGTGACTGAAATTGTCATTTAAACCACCAAACACAATGAAAACACTTCCTATTTACACGTCACAGTGGGCAGAGCCATCTTGGATTCTGACTCTGAATTCTTGCTCGGTCTACTTTTTCTACCACAGAGTTCCGAGTCCCGCCGTCCCAGGAAAAGGGGCATGTCACGCGTGTCGCTAGGCAACTTCCTCGGAAAACCGATTCGGAAAGATAATCAAATGCAGGGTTAGTCTGCGAGACTCCTGACTACGATAGCTGTGTGACTTCATAGTTTACTAAAGTCGTACTGAAACATTTTGACAGATTTTTGAGCACCGTGTACCACATAAAATCAGTTCGAGGTCAGTGAGCACAACCAGAATTAATACATAAGGCACACCGGATTATAAGGGGCACTGTCGATTTTTGAGAGAATGAAAGGATTTTAAGTGCGCCTTATAATCCGAAAAGTACGATACAAGTCTCTTTGCCTAAATTAAAAAGAGTTATGGTGATTTGAACGTCTTTATTATTCTATAAAGCAATTAGAATTACTTTGTTTATGAATTGTGCCATACAAATAAACTTGCCTTGGTGCAACAATAGCTAAAAAAAAACAGAAGAAACTACATGACCATGATCCTTTGGTGTTTTCGGTGCAGACTACATGAAGAAATAACTGTTAGCACTTCATATTATAACATTACCAAAGGCTTTTCTGGGCTCCAGTGCTTTTAAAAGGAAAAAGTAGTTTTCATAGCCTCCACAAAATATCTGAATAAATATCGAACAGTGAGATGCATATCCTGAAAATATTGTACTGAGGGTTTTTGAAATCGTTACATCCCTAATTACAAATCCAAACTCATCAGAAGAATGTTTATTTTCACTCAATTTCTCGCACAATGTTCATGCGGGGCTCATTCAGGGAGAGATTCCAGAGAAGGCAGCAGGTGAGAGAAACTAATTAATGAATTAACAGAAACTAGCGTCAGAAGAATCATTTAAAGCCCCATAAGGTGGTTTTGGAGAGAAGCAACCAGATCCGTGTGAAGGAATAATTACAAACTATAAACAACATTTGTCAGAAATGGAGTGAGATAAAAAAGAAAAAACGTTGGGTTTACATCAGGACTGCAACTACTGTTTAAGGAGTCGATTTATCAGCGAGTTTTGGTCGACTAAGCTGGTCAAAAGGTTGAAATATGACCTGTAGTCGAAGATGCACTGTGTAACTTTTCGGTTGGGGGTCTATCACCTGCTTGTTTCCATGGAGATGTCATTGCTTTGCTCGGAAAGTTCCACAGTATGACATTAAACAGCTCCACCTTACATTTATTCAGTTACAGGTGTGTTATAGCACAAAAGTACCTAGAAAAACAGGCATTCTGACTGTGAGCGCGGTCGCCTCTCCACAGATCTGACCTGTAACTTGGTCTGGTTTGGTCTCCATGAAGATAGAAATGTTTAATGCCAAAAGTTACACAATGCACCTTTAAGAGAATATTTACAAATAAAGTGCTGGATGGATGAACATCAGAAATAGTTTGTTCTTATTTTATTTTTATTTATTAGGGGTGTAACAGTACTTCATGCTGAACTGTTTCAATACAGGACGTTTGGTTCGGTGCAGGGCTGTGCTTGAGTGAATTCGTGCAATTTGTGTGTGTTTACATTCCTCCACTACATGTGTAGCTACATGGAATGTTCAGCTTTTTAATATTCATGTGGGAACTCGTCCATGATTGAGGTGGCAGTGTTTCCCGCAGCGATTTATAGTTAGGGCGGCCGCCTTGGCAACAATTGCCCCCCGTCTTGACTACATCCCTCCAAAGCACATAAATCCTCCCTAAACCACGACTGTCGCGCCGCAGTCCTCACTTTCGCCGACATGGAATCTCAACCCCCCCAAACCCACGACCTCTGTCCCCAGCGAAAGGGTATTTTTAAGAACTGGGGACATTGTAACTGTCAGCAGATCTGCACTTACTGTAGATAATGTGGACAAGTTGTTTTTTCAGGCCAAAAATATGAAGTTTGAGTTAAACTTTATGCTGGAACTGTTAGTGCTCGGCTTTACTTTTTGAAAAGTTTAGTTTACTGTTTACAAGGAATTTATTTTTTATAATATTTCATACATTTGTTGCTTATTTGAGAATAGTTTATTTAACTTATTAGTATTATCAAGCAGCACTTTGCATTTATTTTATTTTCTCATTTGTATAATGTTAAAACAAATTGTTGGTTTAGTAAACAAGTAAATGGTTTTGCATTTAGTTCCCATACTGTACGGAAAATGAACCGAACCGTGATTTTTGTGTCTCACTACATCCCTGTTATCTGTCCTTTATGAAACAACTTTTAATCTGTGTTTTAGAGCAGTGATTCTTAATCTTAGGGGCACGAGCACTTCCTTCAGGGCCCCATAATCAGTAGAATATTAGGCATTTAATATGAGATTGAGCTACGGGTTACTTTGCACAGAGACATTCAGGCCCCAAGATCAAAAAGGTTAAGAACCACTGTTTTAAAATCTGTACTGTCCAGATAACTATGATTATTTTAATACTCGACTAGTCACAATTAATCAAATGAATCATTGTAGCTCTAGTTCACGTCATAACTCTCTCTCTCTCTGTAATTAGTGGAGCTATCAATAAGAAAAAGAAAGAAAGAAAACTGGTACAAAGTCATCTCTGACAGCACAATTATTTATTTTTCACAAAAGCTTCAAAAAGTGAGGCCATTCTTAAGTCCTAAAGATGTGATAGGTTTGTGGAGTCACCAAATAATTCAATATGATGATATGGTTCAAACATTTAAGGATCATAATTTTGGAGATTTCATTAAAAAAAACACACAAAAAAAAACACATCTCCCCATAAAATTATAATGGCCCAATACATGAGCATGTATGGGAGAGACCAGTCATTTTTGAAGAAACGTTTATGGTCATTTTTTGTTGTTGATTAAGACACCATCGGTAGACTAAAGGACTACATCTTCACACAATACTGGTTAGAAGTTTGTAATGACATATTTAGCAGAATAAGCCCAAACCCATGCGTGGCTCTTACCACATCGTAGCTGGTGCTCCCGGAGGTTCCTGAACTCCAGTCCGTGCAGGTGGGTGGGGAAAGTACAGGTGGTGTCATTTCCAATCCGCACTGAGTTTGACTTGGCCCAAAGCAGAAGCCACTGAAGCTGACAGTCACAGAACAACGTCTCTGTTTTAAAGTGTCTGCAAATGAGAAATATGCTAAATCAGTAAACATAAGTAATCAGAAATAAATCAGAACTGTCATGGTTGAAGTGACTCAAGAAAATGTACCAAATGATAAACAGTAAAAAGTAAAGAAAAGAAATGTTTGCTTCAAGTTGGTACAATTGGCACAATCACAATCACCACAAAAAAAAAAAAATCCTTTAGTTTTAGTACTAGGTTTTTAAAATCTTCTCTAGTTTTACAATTTGCCATTTTAACAGCAACTTTTTGGTTGAGGGTCTGTCACCTTCTTGTTTCTATGGATATATAACTCCTCTGCTTTGAATGTTCCACAGTAAAATATTAAACCAATCTACCTTACATGTATTCAATTTCAGGTGGTTTTACTGCGCACACATTTTTGGAAAAACAGGCATTCTGACTGAGTGGGGTTGCTTCTCCACAGATCTGACCCGTAACTTGGTCTGGTTTTGTCTCCATTATGATGTAGAGGTTTATTACTTAAAGGTTGTATGGAGGATTTTTTTAAATATTTTTTCAAATTGTCAATGAAAGTTCAAAATAGAATTATAAAGAAGAAGCAGCCTTGTAATTATGATGACCAAAAAAAAAAGAATGAAAATCCATCAACTGTGGACGTAGTGAGGGCAGATAAACATCAGCCAATAGATAACAAGGCTACCTCTTTATCTATTGGCTGTTAGGTTGTCAATCAAATTCCCTGCGTTTCTAGCGTCGCTGACTTGCCGACGCGCTGGGATTGTGTGGTTTATGTTCGCGGTTCATGTTTAGCGGTTCTTGGCGTCTTTTTTGAACTGTAGCTCTCAGTTTGCACAAATTTTGTTTTAATGGCAGAGAAGAATTCACGACCGGTTCGCCGCAAAAGAAAGTCAGTTTTTGATGTTGCTGAAAGAAGAAGAGAAGGGGAAAAGGTGCAAAGCGCAACATTTAAAAAAGGACAAACAGTCGCTGCATTTCTCTTTCCTTGGAAAATCTTCTATACAACCTTTAAGGGCACATTCACACTAGGACTTTAGCTCAAGCTCAACAAGTAGGGTTCTATGGCCACATTCACACCCGCACAACCGAAACGACGGCAGCAGAAGGAGACAGACTGCCAAACTTTTGTCACCATCCACAGTCCGTATTGAAGGTGAGCGTGGATTAAGCCTGGATTCACTGTGTGTTTTAGAGCAGAGTTCCTTCACCGTTTTTCTACGAGTAACATCCTCACACCTGCCGGGGTTCATATAGTGTCCACGTTCACGAGCAACCGTACCTCCTCCAGCTGGGTCAAAGTCCCAACCGTGCCACACCTGGACACGGTTCAATTGCGCTTACACTGGACAAGGGTACTGCACTTAAGGGCGCGGACAGGTGCTTGGGCACAGTTCGGTCGGGCTATTGTAAACACACCCGTAAATGCTTCTGGATTCAATTTCTTTCAAAAATCTTTTCACCAAATTTCTAAATTTCCTAACAAAAAAATATACCTTCATTCCAAAAAATATTGAACATCTGTAATTAAAACATTTATATTTATGTTTTATTGTGTGTATCTCCCTGATGAACCGACACTCACAGATGTTACACTTCTTGCCACTGCGTCTGTGTGTTGTTTGTGAATGATTGTGTATTTTTTTACTCTTCTGAACACCTATGAACTGAATTGCCTCTTTGAGATGAATAAAGTTCTGATTCTGAAAACTTTTGGTTTGGTGGCTTATTCTGACTTCAGTTTTTCCAACTTTCTGTAAAAACTTAAAAGAGTCCACCACTGCACCTGCACCTGCACCTGACTCGTATCAACTTTAGCTCGTTCATCCCTCGAGAATTCCCCCGTGTCACAGTCGGTCTTTGAATCATCTCTGTGTACGTGAGGTGTTTCTATGCAACACACTGGATGAAAATACAGAATAAAGGTATATCCGTTTGTTTTGTGTTCTTGCTACTGTAAATCCGCTTGTTTTGTTCCTGAATTCTCAACTCAACTCAACTTCAAATTATTAAAAAAACAACCTGAATGTAAAGATGTACTGAGGAACTTTTATGGAGGATACGGTTACTCCTATATCTCTATTGCATTATGTCTTAGAGGGACTTTTTTAGCAAGAAAACATTTGAAATTGAATTAATGCAGGTTTAGCTAAGTTTAATGCTATACTGCGGAACATTCCACTTTGTTACACTTTGTGATGTCATCTGGTAATACAGGAAATGCTCCACTGTGTTTTTAAACTCCATTTACCTTCATTAGAATCATTAAGAACTTGGAATTGCCAATGTCTAATGAACAAAAGATAAAGATTAGCTGTTAACTTAGAAGAATTACAGCTTCGTGACATCACAAGGTGGAACAGAGTATTTTGAGTTTTGGAGGGGGTTACTCAAACATCTGTGAATGAAAACACAACTCCGGGAACGTTTTTTCAGGAGGTAACAACATTCTAACATGGCTTAAAGCTCACAAGAGTCAATTTTGTGTAAAAAAGGAGCTTTAAAAATATAAAAATAGTCCTTACAGCACTTTGAGAGCCAACAGGTGCGTGAAGAGTCCAATGTGCAACGTTGAGAAGATATTTCCAGAGAGATTCCTGTTTGAGAAATACAAAAACATTTTTTTAATTTTTTTTGTCTTTATCTGTTATTCACAATCATAAAAGTTCAAGAAATAAACTCTTAAGCTGTGTTCACACCAGAGTGTCAAAAAACACCTTGACGCCTCTAATTTGAGTTTAGACGCCCCGACGCGCCATCTTTGACGTCGTGGACGAACCGGAGTAAAACACTTGACGCGTGTTCGTTGCCCTGGAAACAAGTGCCCAGTCCCACACTTTTCCCGAAACAATGTCAGACCAGACTGAGAGCCTTTAGTGTTTTTATTACATAAAACCATCAGCAGAGGAGCTCGGGTCGACACCTGTGGGGTATATATATGTATGTATACTCTACTAATGACACTGATTCAATCCTGGTCTAGTCCCTGTCTAGTCCATGTTTAGTCCTGGTCTAGTCCCAGTCTAGTCCTGGTTTAGTCCGGTCTAGTCCTGGTTTAGTCCCAGTCTAGTCCTGGTTTAGTCCCTGTTTAGTCCTGGTCTAGTCCCAGTTTAGTCTTGGTTTAGTCCCCGGTCTAGTCCTGTCTAGTCCCTGGTCTAGTCCTGGTTTTTGTCCCAGTCTAGTCCTTATCTAGTCCCGGTCTAGTCGTGGTTTTAGTCCCGGTCTAGTCCTTGTCTAGTCCTGGTTTAGTCCCGGTCTAGTCCTGGTTTTGTCACGGGCTAGTCCTTATCTAGTCCCGGTCTAGTCGTGGTTTAGTCCCGGTCTAGTCCTTGTCTAGTCCTGGTTTAGTCCCGGGTCTAGTCCTGGTTTTGTCCCGGTCTAGTCCTTATCTAGTCCCGGTCTAGTCCTGGTTTAGTCCCGGTCTAGGCCCGGTCTAGTCCTGGTCTAGTCCCTGGCTAGTCCTGGTCTAGTCCCGGTCTAGTCCTGGTCCAGTTTTGGTGTAGTCCTTGCGATCCTCTCGGTGATTGTGCCGTACATATTTATGCTCTGCTAATGCTTATGGCTCTCGCTCTGCTTCTCGGGTTTTTCTCTTTCTTCCTGATAATAACGTCGTACGTCGCTGGATACTCCTCCCTGATTGGTTGACAATTGGCGCATCTGACGAGAAAAGTTCTGCATTTTCAACTTTCTCGCGCCGCGCTGACGCCCGAAGACACGCTACAAAAACGCCAGACGCCCTCGACACGGGTCCACGTAGACTTTACATATAAACTGGACGCTTTGACGCTCTGGCTTGAACCCCCCCTTTATAAATAAACATATACTCTAAATATAGATAAGATAAGATAAGATAATCCTTTATTGTCTCCCATGGGAGAAATTTGTCTTGGGACAGGGGGTAACACGCTTTATCAAAAAACAGGACAACACAACACAAAGCAGCACATAAACAAACACCATAAAACAAAGTAAATATGAGACCAGTATGACCACGAGTGATGCACCAACAGGACCCTTAAATTATCCTTAACAGGCAAACCCTTGCATTCTTCTGTTCTATTAATTATTGCACATTCCTAAAGTCTATGTGCAGTTTTAGTTTATAATTATTGCACATTCCCTAAGCCTATGTGCAGTTTTAGTTATAATTATTGCACATTCCCTTAGCCTATGTGCAGGTTTAATTATTGCACATTCCTTAAGCCTATGTGTAGCTTTAATTGCACATTCCCTACACCTATGTGCAGTTTTGATTGCACAATCCCTAAGCGTTTTATAATTATTTTTTAACTGCACTATCTGAGTTTAGCAGTTTAACAGCTAGTGGCACAAAAGAATGTTTGAATCTGTAAACTCGAAATATTTCACTCTATGTGTCATGAGTCTCTATAACATATGGGTTTTCTGAAATGAATGACAAAAAATACAGAACTTTTTCACAATATTTGTATTATTTGTGGACTATTCTATACAGTCTTTACCTGCAGTTTTTGAGCCCGCACACAGCAGCCTTTATGCTACAGTCTATTCTCCACAGACACACAGTAAATTAAGCTTAAATAAAGCATGTTTTCAATTAAAGGATTACTCACAGTTTTGAGAGGCTGCCCAGATCCAGGAACATTTCAGGAGCGAGGCAGCCAATCCGGTTACGGGACAGATCCCTGGAAAGACAACAACATAAGAGCTCGGAGCGTATATCCTAAAGCCTAATGCATGTGTGTATTGAATGTATATGTGTGTATACGTGTGTGTATATGTGTGTGTGTGCTCGTCACAGGGGATAATGAAGAGAAATGAGGGCAGGTGAGGAAGGATTAGAATACGAACAGCAAATTTATGTCAATTTAGATTAAAGGTAAAACAGTAGATGGGCCAATATTACACTGTTTTATGATCTATGTTTTAATGTTTCCTCGTCACAAACAAACCTGGAGTTGTGTTTTGTTTCATTCACACAAGTTTAATAAACAATCCGTGTATCATTCGTTCATTTGTTTTTCAAAATAAGACCAAAAATAGGAAAATGAAAAAAAACAACAACTGTTTTCTTCATTATTTGTCTCCAAAACCAAAATGAAAATAGTGATACGATTTTTCAGTTTTTGATTTAAATGAATAATTTCCTGTTGTCATGACTTAAACTACAATTCTGGACTTTTGCGATGCATACAGACTGAACCAGGACTGAACCAGGACTAAAACAGGTCCGGGATCAGACCGGAACCAGACTGGGACTGAGACCGGGACCAGACCAGAACTGAGACCAGGACTGAGACCGGAACCACACCGGGACTAGATCGTGATTGAGACCAGGACCAGATCATGATTGAGACCAGGACTGAGACAAGGACCAGAGCGGGACTGAGACCGGGACCAGACCAGAACTGAGACCAGGACTGAGACCAGGACCAGAGCAGGACTGAGACTGGCACTGAGACCAGGATTGAGACCAGAACTGAGACTGGGACCAGACTAGTAATGAAAATGGTCTAGTCCTTGTTTAGTCCTGTTTTAGTCTTGACTCAGTCCTGGTTCAGTCCGACACAAAACTCCGGCATCACAGTTTAAGTCAATTATTAATTTAAACACAAAATTGAAAACTGAAAAACACAAATCATGTTTTCATAGATCATCTGTTTTTTTCATTTTGGTTTTGGAGACAAATAATGAAGAAAATTGTTGCTTTTTTGTTTCCTTATTTTTGGTTTTATATTGAAAAACGAATGAACGAATGATACACGGATTAACACACAAACAGTGAAACAGCACGTGAAAGTTGTTAAATCTGGCTTTTATCTAAAATTAAACCTTTTTTCTCTTTTAAATCATTTGAACATGTCATGCACGCGTTTATCTCCTCTTGTTTAGACGACTCTAATGCACTTTCTCGCTTTAAGTTCATCCAAAATTCTGCTGCACGACTTTTAACTGTAACGAAAAAACTTTACCACATTACTTCGATTTTAACTTGTTTGCGCTGGCTTCCCTTTCGATTTAGATTTGATTTTAAGATTTTGTTGTTTGTTTTTAAAGCCTGGAGTCCTCCAAATGTATACCCCCGTGAGCTGTGAGGTCTGAGGGCAGCTCCAGAGACTTAAAACCAGGGAGGACTGGACCTTCTCTGTGACCGGACCAAAACTCTGGAACTTTCTGCCCTCCCTTTGTCTCAAGACCCACTTTTATTCTGTGGTTTAACACCGCGTGAGTTGTGTGATCCTCTGTGTCTTCTATTTCTTTTGTTTATTTTACTTATTTACTCCTATTTTATTTTTTTTTATGGTTTTGCTTTTATTTGCTTTTACTGTTTTTATAGTTTTAGGACTAGTATGACCACATTTTAGCAATTTACCTCTTTGTTGTCTTCATTTTATGACCTCTGTGCAGCATTTGGAAAGTGCTTTGTTTGTAAAATGTGCTATAGAAATAAAGTAGATTTGGATTTGGACAAAAGCTGTACATGCAGTTCTTCTCTCAAACTGAAAACACTTGAGGAATCTTTTGTTCCTGAATCTGTACTTTCACTTGAGTAAAAATATGAGTACTTTTCCCCCCACTGAGTACAGGAGGATACAGAGAGTGTTAGTTTAGTGAGACGTGAGGAGCTTTGGAGTGGGGAAGGTTATAAAAAGAGTCAAACTAATAACAACATTTTTATTTGGTTTTCAATTAATTCAAGGGGGTGATAACATTTTTTATCTATTTTTAATTCATTTTTTTATCACTTCAAAATAGAAAACATTAGGGCAATTACCTCAAATAAAAAAGATGAATCTTTGTCATTAAAAGGGAACATTATGCAAATGGATTTTTATGAGGTGTTAATAATGTTCATCTTTGTTATCTTACTCAGAGTTGTACTTGCTTTTGTGCTAATATTCAACACTACTACTATTATCTACTATTATTAACTGAGGAAAATGACACACTATTCTATCTATATCATATTATTTATATTTATATATTTATATTTATATTGTGAAATGAATCAAGTATCAAGCATTAAACACTTTGCTTAGTATAAGAGATGTACCGATATGACACTGGTATCAAATATTGACGCCGATATTGAACATTTTGGTGGATCGGGTATCGGTTTCAAAGATATCGGTTCAGCTCATATCCTATTTTGGTCAATAAACCTTCGTAATAAGATGATTCAGTGTTAATTAATTACTTTAAATGATAAATAACGTTTACCAAATACATTTGAATCATTTTTTTTTTACCAAATGCTGTTTGTGTTTAAAGGAAATACATTATATTTTCAGTCTTTGCTCTGGTATTGGCAGATAAAGCAAAAGAATCAACATTATCGGAATTGAAAAAGCTGAATCGGTGCATCTCCTCTTTATTTTCTTATTATTTTTATATATTTATTTATAATTGACAAACCGAAAGACGTCAGGCTTCATACTCAACCAAACACCACCCACACATCACATCCACACTGATTCATACTTAACCCAGGACAAGTGTACTACACTCATCGACATTGAGCGACTCTCACCCGGCAACGCTTTTTCATGTTTTCGGTGTCCTGGTGAGCTTTTTCCCACTGGACACCGAAACATATCTATCTGCTTTGTACAGTGTGCACACGGCCTCACACTTGTCCCGACCAGAACGGAAAGAATGGAATTTCTTGTACAAGTCATCGTTAAATACGCATTTGTTTCTTCGGCACGTTGCAGACTGACCGACTGTTTGTGTCTCGCTCCTTCTGAGTGCAGAGAGACACATGTACTGACCCCCGTTTGGTCACACTACACACAGTAACCTGCATTCGGTTTATTGATGAAAACGAACGTAATCGATGAAATTCTTAATGATCAAGTATCAGTTAATCGACTAATCATGCCCATCCCTGCACGCAGTGTTGGGAAGGTGACTTTTAAAATGTATTCCCCTACAGATTACAGATTACATACACCAAAATGTAGTTTGTAATGTAATCCATTAAATTACTTAAAGTGAGTAACGTAATCTGAATACTTTGGATTACTTGATTTGCTAAGATGTTTTGTCTGATAAAAGAAAATGAAAAACCCAGACTTTCCTTAACCAAATTAAAAATATTATTGATAGAAGAAGAGGAGACACGGTCCACACAGCAGGATTTAGTCCTGTTAACTCCTGTTTTAAACCTGTTTTAGTCCTATTTTAATCCTGGTTTTAGTCCTGGTTTAGTCCTGGATTAATCCTGGTTTAGATCTGTTTTAGTCCTGTTTTAGTCCTGGTTTTAGTCCTGGATTAATCCTGGTTTAGATCTGGTTTAGTCCTGTTTTAGTCCTGGTTTTAGTCCTGGATTTAGTCCTGGTTTTAGTCCTGGATTAATCCTGGTTTAGATCTGGTTTAGTCCTGTTTTAGTCCTGGTTTTAGTCCTGGATTAATCCTGGTTTAGATCTGGTTTAGTCCTGTTTTAGTCCTGGTTTAGTCCTGTTTTAGTCCTTTTTTGTTCCTGTTTAAATCCTGGTTTAGTCCTGTTTTAGTCCTGGTTTTAGTCCTGGATTAATCCTGGTTTAGATCTGGTTTAGTCCTGTTTTAGTCCTGGTTTAGTCCTGTTTTAGTCCTGGTTTAGTCCTGGTTTTAGTCCTGGTTTTAGTCCTGGTTTTAGTCCTGGATTAGTCCTGGTTTAGATCTGGTTTAGTCCTGTTTTAGTCCTGGTTTAGTCCTGTTTTAGTCCTGGTTTAGTTTAGTCCTGTTTTAGTCCTGTTTTAGTCCTGGTTTAGTCCTGGTTTAGATCCTGGTTTAGTCCTGGTTTAGTCCTGGTTTAGTCTTGGTTTAATCCTGGTTTAGTCCTGGTTTTAGACCTGGTTTAGTGTCCGGTAATGAGTAGAATTACCGAAGGAAAAAAAAAAAAAAAAAAAAGGATACAGCCCAAAATGCAAAAAACAAGAAAATACTGCTGTGTAATCCATTTATTTCAACGAAATAACTGTAATCCAATTACCACTCACTGAAACAGTAACTGTAACCGAATACAGTTACTCATAATTTGTACTCTGATTACGTAACTCCGGTACATGTAATCTGTTACTCCCCAACACTGCCTACACGATACCGTCAGTCTGGAAGGGTTATTTTATTATTGTGCGTCTCTTTTTAGTATTGAAATCAGGTTTAAAGTGGCGGCGCGATGAGAACACTTTATCTTACCCACCGCTGTTTACTCCCATTACCCTCGTGCAAACTCTCCATGACCTTCAGCGAACTTTGACCTCCTTAACCACCTCCCGCACTGCTCCTGTTTAACTACCCTGTGTCCCTACATGTGTGTGTGTGTTTGTGTGTTTGTGTGTCGTCGTCCTCGCAGTGTGGCACCCGTGGCTTTGTGCCCCTTCCCTCTGTAATTAAAGAGCTGCTTTCGCCTGCGCAGCTGTGGGGAAAATAAGCAGAGCACTCGAGTAATCACTGGTTGGGGAGCAGTTAAATTAGCAGCGCGCCGCTCCACACACGCGCCTCGTATCCACACAGGCACACACTGAACTTAACCATCCAGACCGGAGAGGGAGAAAGAAGGGAGAGGAGAGGGGGCTATCAGGGCGCAATCATGTCGCTGACTACAGGGACAAGACAGGAAAGAGAAGAGGAGATAAGTGGAGAGAAGGAGTCAGAAATATACCAGAAAGAAGAATTTTAAAGCTTTAAGGACGAGGTTTGATTGGGCTCTGTTGAAGGTCTTATATTACGCAAAATTGACTCTTGTGAGCTTGAAGTTCTGTTATAACGCTGTTACCTCGTCAAAAACTGTCTGGAGTTGTGTTTTGTTTCATCCACACGTGTTTGAGTAATCCTTTATTAGTCTGTCTACATCTCCAAAGCTCAAAATGTGCTGTTCCACCTTGTGATGTCATCTATACATGTACCTTTTGTTCAGCATGGAGTCAAACGATTCTAGTGAAGGTGGATGGAGTTTAAAAACAAAACAAACCTAAATATGCAGGGTTTGTGTGTTAAACATGTGTGAATGGAATAAAACTTTTCATGAGGAAACAAAATGACAACATATATCCGACAACAGCGTAATATGAGCCCTTTAAGCAAATATTTTTAGTCCAAATACCAATGGTCTCCAGGAGTTACTCAGCATCTGTTCAGCTTCCTGTGTGGAGCATGATATAATGCAGGGGTGTCAAACATATGGCCCAGGGGCCAGGTCCGGCCCTCCGAGACCTTTAATCTGGCTCTTGGCTGATTTTCTACTAAAATATTTAAATTTTATTTTCTATATTGGTAATTTTCTGTGGTGTTTATCACAGCAGCGTCTCCAGCGTCTCTGTACGTGGCCCCTCCCACCAGAGCAGCGTAAATGAAGACTTGTCTCTTTCCAAACGCTCTTAAAGGACGATCGTTTTGACTGTTGACCGTGACACCCTCATCAGAAAAATGTCCAACATGAGAAAAGTGGAGCTGAGTGCAGGATTTTTCCAAGAAAAACTGACTTATTCCTATTTGCAAACAAGTTCATGTTAAAACATTGTGTTGAAATTGTATTTTTCTTAAAGTTTCAGGTTATTTTGTAAAAGAAAGAGTTCATCAATTAAAAAAGATTTCTGTAATAGATTTGCATTTCTCTGCACAAATATTTGAACTTATTGCTATTTTGGGGGTTTATATGCCATTAATTTTTTGATCTGGCCCCTTTGGGATTAAAGTAGGTTGGACACAGCCCCCGGACCAAAATGAGTTTGACACCCCTGATGTAAAGGATAATGCAACTTAGAGTATGATCATGATCTCTAGGACTAAAGAAGATAAACACATGAGATTTCCTGACTTTTGCCTGTCAAATGTTGTGTTGACTGTTAGAACAAAAGTTAAATATCTGGGACAGATCATCACTGTGGACATGACAGATGATGATGATATGTACAGACAGTGTAGGACGCTTTATGCTCAGGCAAATACTCTTATGCGTAAATTTGGTTCTTGCAGGTGCTTTTGAGGAGGCCACGATGGACGAGTGCGACTGAGATGTTTGTTACAGCGTGAGTGAACACTTTGAATTTTAATGTACAGTTTTATTTGCATGCTGAACAAATCGGACAATGAAATAATAATGTCACTCCCAAATATGAGATTCAGTGCAGTAAGATATCAGTCCAACATGTGGAGACACTGGTGTGGTTGTCTTTTAAAAACATAAATGTGTCCTTGTATGTTTTAAAAATGGACCATGAATCTGGAATAAAGATGAACTGAACTAATGCTTCCACAAAAGTTAGATGTTGGTTTTCAGATATTGTCCTGTCAGTGACGCCATTTGTAGAACTTTTAACCAGACATTTTTGTACTGACTTGTTATTTGTATTTAATGAGGATCCATCTTAGCAGACTTCCACTGGTGCATTTCAGCCCTGGCGTCACTGGAGACAATCACAACACTGCATTGGGGTTTGGGCCTGATAAAGTCATTGTACTGCAGCGTTGTACAGAGAGATCTTACTGCCAGTTTAGTCCTTGTTATCTTGGCCTAACTCGCCAGAGATATCATACTCCCTACAACTGAAGCACAGCCAGATTAAGGGTTCCCACGGTCATAGAAGTCCTGGAAAAGTCCTGGAAATTGAAAATGTCATTTTTCAGGCCTAGAAAAGTCATAGATTTTTGTAAATTCAATTAAAGTTTTGGCAAAGTCATGGTATTTTAGTAATCCTTTCAGGCAACAGCGTTCTGTTAAGTTCTCATTAGAGTATTATGATTATTTCTGAACGTCTGCGCCTTTTATTTAAAAGATACGACAATAAATGCACTGACAGGATTTTGAATGTAAAAAAACTATAATACCAAACCATAAGGTGAGTGGAAAGGGTTAATTTCATATTTAGCCCTAAAAGTCTGATCAATTCTGCACATAGGGTGCTGTAAAGTCATGGAAAATTCAACGTCAGGCCATAGGTCATAGTCAAGGAAAAGTTTAGAAATGTTGTCAGTGTTAAAGAGTGGGAACCCTGCAGATTGAACTGCATGAGAATTGAATGGACAACGCTGTCACAATGTCTTGAGGGCTATTGTCTCCAGGTCCTAACCTTCTCCTCCATTAGAACTCCAGAGTCACGCTTCTTGCTTCATCTCTCAGGCTACTTCAATTTATTCAAAACTGACCAAAGCCAAAAGGTGAAGCTTCCTTATATTTCACCATTTTTCAGCCTATATTAGCAAAAATACAGACGATTATACCATTGAATTCCCCTCACTATAAGAGAAAGTCCATCACTGTGCACTTTCAAACTCCATCTTAAACTGTGGATGAAGGAAAACCAAGTCTGTGAACACTTTTAATCTGATATTTTACTGTTCTGTTCTCTGTCTCTTTGAATCTGTTTTGTATTTTGTAGTTGATTTCTGTGTCACCTCCCAGATGTTTACATTAACATGCGCTGTCCCTATCAAATAAATAAATAAATCAATGAAAATTGCGCAGAGGGAACCACTTTGTGTCTGTACTTTTCTCTCTCAACTCAACTGGATTTATCTCAAGTTTGAATTATCAGCTCGCTCTACTATTGTGACATTTTGACGCGCATTGTGACAGCTCGGAGTTTTCGCTTGAACGTCTTATTCAGCGAGAGCCGTCCCGAACTGCGCGGAACTGCAAACTCTTTCATTTGCCAATTAGACACACGCCAAGACCACAGCCTCTACTCTGATCCCCGCTTTGGGAATAGTCGCGCAGTCTGGGTTGTGTTCTGGGCGTGTGGGCCGGAGCGCTGAGCAGATCTGAGCGGGTCATTTGCAGCGTCGGACTTGTGTTTGGTCTGAACTCACACAGTGTCTTCATCATATACTCACAGCCTCCGCAGCGTCAGCAGACCACGAAAGGCCCCGGGCTCCACTGTACTTATCAAATTATTCTTCAGGTCCCTGGAGGAGAGAGGAGACAGGCAGTCAGCAGTGCAGCGCAGATCTCTGAGACTCTACGTACGAACAGTGGACACAGTCAAGTAGTGCTTTCAATGAGAGAAAATGAGAGGGAAGTGTCACGGGGAGGTCAGGACTGGAGATGGATGGTTGTTTTATAAATCTACGGTTGGGGGTTTGATCACAGCTTCAGTCAATGGATGCTGTCAATTTGGGTTTGGGCAAGTCATTAGCGAGTCCCCAGTTTGTTTAGGGCTGTGTTCGTGACCCAAGTCAATGGCCGTTATTCGTAAATCACAAAATAAAGGTGGATTTGACCATTATTTAACATTAATGAGGATATTTTATCGTGTCTTTCTGAACACAATGAAAAACAGTCATTGAAGCAGCAATAAAAGGATTCATAATTTAAGATAAGATATGCCTTTATTAGTCCCACAGTGGGGAAATTCCAGTGTTGCAACGCACAATTTCAGAACAGCAGGAAAAGGTAACACAGATAATAAATAATAGCTTAAAATAATTTAAAAATAGACTTAAAAATAATTGCACATGGTTATGATTGACTGGTACATGTTCAGTGTTAACAGTGTTTGTTGTAAAGTCTGACAGCAGCAGGAAGGAAAGACCTGCGAAACCTCCTTCACACAGCGAGGGTGAATGAGTCTGTCACTGAAGCTGCTCCAGAGCAGACAGAGCGTCCTGCAGGGGGTGAGACTCATGGCCCAGCATAGAGACGACCTTAGTCAGGACCCTCCTGTCCCCCACCTCCTGCACTGAGTCCAGACAACAGCCCAGGACAGAGCTGGACGTCTTGATGACCTTGTCCAGCTTCTTCTTCTCCCTCTCTGTGATGCTGCTGCTCCAGCAGACCACACCAGCCTATTTGGATATTACATTTCTAACATTTCTTTTTCTTTTCAACATTCAATTGAACCAGCAACATTGGAACAAAATAGTCAATAAAATAATTACAAAAAGATGACAAATTATACAAAACTTGTCTTAACTTTTCAACATTTCTAGTGAGATAGGTGGGCCTGTCTGCATTTCTGTAGCGTGTTCCAGTCCGGGTGCAGGAGGAGAGCGATACACACATATCAGACGCAGCATTCAGTCTGTTTCTGTGCTTTGTCTTCATTTTTGTGACCACAGAAAATCACAATTCACACATGAAAGTAGCGAAAGAAACAAGCATAGAAATAGGCGAGTTTCAGCTGACGTCATTGTTATTAAAAGCCCGCGTTGCATGCTGGGAAATATTTTGGTCAGAGGCAAGAAACACGGTCAAACACAGTGTGTAACCTCACGTATTTATCCCCGGTAATGGTAAATTCCTGCTGCATTATCGGATGCACAAATAGAAGCACGGAAGAAGGAAAATGTCTTTTTCGTATTCTGAGTGAAAAGAACCGCTAACGGTGAATTAAACGGCTTTCAAACATTCGCAGAGCAAACGTAGAAGATCCTAACAAACCGTGGACTCCAACAAGTTCAACAACGCGCACTTTTGTCAACAATTAAACTCGCCTATAGTGGCCCTTCTAAGGACAAGATATTCTGACGATATGCTGATCCAGAATGACGATCAGGTCTCAGATCCATGTGTACAACTGTATATCACAGACCTACATGCAAATCGTGACAAGGTGACCCCAAAAAAATCTCCTGCGACTCAGTCTTTGGGAAACAATGCTCTATACCCCCATTTGCCCCTGCCACATGACATAACATCCATGTGAAACTTTAATTACACTATATCACTACTAAATAATATATATAATAAAATATTTTGTGTGCCAAAAGTTACGCACGGACAAGAACTTTCATACAAAATCAACAGGTAAATACGACAAACTGTAGAAGATAAATGTAATGTCATATGGTGTAACATTTCAGCCGAAGCAGTAACATGTCCATGGAGACAAGTAAAACCACGTCTAAACCAGGACTAAACCAGGACTAAAACCAGGTCTAAACTAGATCTAAACCAGGACTAAACCAGGACTAAAACCAGGTCTAAACTAGATCTAAACCAGGACTAAAACCAGGTCTAAACTAGATCTAAACCAGGACTAAAACCAGGTCTAAAACTAAAATCTAAACCAGGACTAAACCAGGACTAAAACCAGGTCTAAACTAGAATCTAAACCAGGACTAAACCAGGTCTAAACTAGATCTAAACCAGGACTAAACCAGGACTAAAACCAGGTATAAACTAGATCTAAACCAGGACTAAAACCAGGACTAAAACCAGGGTCTAAAACTAGATCTAAACCAGGACTAAACCAGGACTAAAACCAGGTCTAAACTAGATCTAAACCAGGACTAAACCAGGACTAAAACCAGGTCTAAACTAGATCTAAACCAGGACTAAAACCAGGACTAAAACAGGAAACAGGACTAAACCAGGTCTAAACCAGGATCTAAACCACTAAACTAGGACTAAACCAGGACTAAACCAGGACTAAAACCAGGTCTAAACTAGATCTAAACCAGGACTAAACCAGGACTAAAACCAGGTCTAAACTAGATCTAAACCATGTCTAAACTAGATCTAAACCATGTCTAAACTAGATCTAAACCAGGTCTAAACCAGGTCTAAAACCAGGTCTAAAACAGGACTAAAACAGGTCTAGACCAGGACTAAAACCAGGTTTAAACCAGGACTAAACCAGGACTGAACCAGGACTAAAACCAGGTCTAAACTAGAGCTAAACTAGATCTTAACCAGGACTAAAACCAGGTCTAAACTAGATCTAAACCAGGTCTAAAACCAGGTCTAAACCAAGGTCTAAACCAGGACTAAACCAGGACTAAAACCAGGTCTAAACTAGAGCTAAACTAGATCTAAACCAGGACTAAAACCAGGTCTAAACTAGATCTAAACCAGGTCTAAAACCAGGTCTAAAACAGGACTAAAACCAGGATTAAAACCAGGATTAAAACCAGGACTAAAACCAGGACTAAAACCAGGTTTAAACCAGGACTAAACCAGGACTGAACCAGGTCTAAATCTGGTCTAAAACCAGGACTAAAACAGGATTTAACAGGACAAAATCAAGCTGCGTGGACGTGTCTCCTCCTCTTCTATCAATAATATTTTTAATACAGGTAAATCTGGGCTTTTTATTTTCTTTTAGCAGACAAAACATCTTATGTTACGATATCTTCGTCTTTGCTTTTCTACAGCAAATCAAGTAATCCAAAGTATTCAGATTACGTTACTCACCTTAAATAACTTAATGGATTCCGTTACAAACTACATTCTGGGGTATGTCATCTGTAATCTGTAGGGGAATACATTTTAAAAGTCACCTTCCCATTACTGCTTGTCTCCACATATGTTGTTACTTCGCATTGTTATGTCACCCAGAGAGAGTTCCACAATATTTAACTTAAATTATCCATGGAGACATTCAGAAAGAAGTGGTATTGTGGTGTACAGATGATTTTATGATGATCTTGTATTGACTTTTTATTGTATTGTCGTCTTGGAGAGCAGCACCTGTTAGTTGGACTTCTCGGGCCGTTTCCTGCTCTGGAGAACCACAAACCACATCCAGTCCAGAGTCAGACCCACCCCCTCCCTCTCCGCCCCCTCCCACTCCGACCGCACTAACCCTTGGCTAAAAACAGCTCCAAATGGCCACCGCTTTTCCCAATGGGCCAAAGAAAACTTCCTGAAATTGTGTCTAGGGCTTCCTTTGCGTTGGCCTGTCCACTGTGAGGAGAATCAGAACTTTGGACCATTTTCCTGAAGCATGCGAGCGGATCTGCTCCCAGCCACAGCCCCGGAGAGAAAATAAAGTTAATGCTAGAGTAGTTTTTATGAGACCCAAGAGGGAGTTTAAAAGAGAAGCCAGCGCAATTATCCAATACAGTAGTCCCCAATACAAAGGAGCAACGATTACTTGACAAAGCTGATTCATATGGATGGATATAGTGTATAATGGGATTGTTTTAAATAGCTTCATTATTCTGATGTAAAACTTTGGTAATATATGTAGACACTCAGACACTGGGGGAATCAAAGTGGCTTCTATCTTCTAGCCTAAAACCAAATCTTGTGTGTAAGTGTGCGCATACAGAACACTGCTTCAACTTTTTTGTTAATAGTTTGCGATCTTCTTTCCACGGAGCTGAATTGTTTTATTACAGCTCGGGTCTCTGGAGATGCATGCCCACTCAAAGTAAAAAGTTGAAAAAACCGAGGCACTCGAAAAATGCAGAATAATTAAAAGCCTTGAATACCGCATGGCAGATAAAGCTAAAAATCACGCCAACGCATTTTGGGCTCATCGGGGCAGGGAATGATTTTAACTTTATCTGCCATGTGGTATTAAAGGCTTTTCATTATTTTGTATTTTTTGAGCGCCTCAGTTTTTTCAACTTTGTGTTTGAGACTGATCCCTTCACTGAAGAGCCCCAAAAGGACAATTCAGCACAATTTCTGTATATCCAAGTAGCACTCCTGCCCCCCAAAAGTTTTGCCCATTCAAGGTGACTTTGCATGTTTTTCTTGGATTTCATAAAGCAAGATGGTTATATTGGCCATTAGGGTGGTTAAAAAAAATTCTGGCCAAAATATTTGGGGTCTAAATTTTATGCAAAATTAACTAATATTTAGAGTTTTCTTTAGACACTTGAATATTGCCTTATACTAAAACATAGCGAACCAAATAAATAAGGCGTATTCAAATAATTTGTCATTTTATTCTGCAAACACACACTGGAACTTGTGTAAAAATGATTTAGAAAGTCCATAAAAGTTGCTTAGAAAGTTGATAAAGTCCATAAAAAGTTACTTGAAAATGCCAAATTAATCCATTTCTAGGAAACTTCGTGCAGCTTGAGCAACCTCTAAAACATCTCCTTTTTCTTCCAAATTTCTTCCTAAATTATCATTTGAATGTTAAAACCTAATGCAGGGTGCTAATCGAGGTTATCTAAAATTTCTTCTTTTTTAAAAAATGTTTTTACCATGCTTTGATGGACCAAAG